ATTAAGCGGAAATTACTGTAAATATAATGTTTCACATTTTGACATTTAAACCGGGATATGCAGAATGTTAACATAAATAATATGAATTACCTGCCATACATATTAAATAAAAAAAAACACAATTTTTAAGAAGCTCAAAACGATCTCTCAAGAGGAGTTTTTTAAGGGAAAATATTTATTTAATATGGGTATTCCCATGAAAATGTCAGCCACGACTGAAAATCTTTTCAAGNAAAAAACACAATTTTTAAGAAGCTCAAAACGATCTCTCAAGAGGAGTTTTTTAAGGGAAAATATTTATTTAATATGGGTATTCCCATGAAAATGTCAGCCACGACTGAAAATCTTTTCAAGTTGTCTGCATGGGTCTCGGATAGAATTGCGTTTGTATGTATGTATGTATGTGTTTAATAATTTAGCAGCTACGCGTGCCCTATTTTATATTCNGTTGTCTGCATGGGTCTCGGATAGAATTGCGTTTGTATGTATGTATGTATATGTTTAATAATTTAGCAGCTACGCGTGCCCTATTTTATATTCCTCTAAGTTGCTTTAAAATACATGCGTATATATATATATATATTTATCGCTTTTGTTTAATTTTTACAACAAAATAGGCCAATACACTTGTATGTACTTGCATAAGTACAAATGTGGCAGGGACACAAATGGCCAATCTTTAATGCACAGCATCAAGGGCGAACGCAGGTGGGGGTTTTGGGGTTCAAACCCCCGGCCCCCCTTTTCATTTAGTTACTTTTGCAAACCAAGGTACTATTGTTTTTATTTCCGTAACACTGTGTATGAATTTTCAACTATGCATTTGCGATCTGCTGATAAAGAACAAACAAAGGTGAATAAATACAAGGTTGTGTACAACAAACTCATCATTTTGACATTTACCTCTCTCTGAGTTGTAGGATTTTGAAGAACAAATCAAAGTTTAACTATTTTCAAATATCTTTGCACGCATTTGCCGAGCGCTTGATATTAATATTTTTAGGGATTTTTTTAAGGTATTTCCCACAAAATTTCGAAATGGGAGTAAAAAAAAATAGTAATTAAATAACGTTTTATTCAGCAAAAAAATTTCAACTGTTGGTAGTTGAGGTTTAAACTTAAAAAATATTAATAAACATATACGCTACTTGGATTTTTACTTGGGTTACAAAATTGCAAAACTCTGCGAATTGGGCAAGACTATTTGTATAATTTTTTTTTATAATAAAATATTAAATATTTAAGGCTAATATTCCAAGTTTTTAAATGTAGAAATCATTTCTGCTTTTCGTTTAATCAGTTGAACTCTCTGACGTGACGTTACCTGACGTTACGTTACTAAAATTTCCATTGAAAAGGTATTGTTTTTGAACGAATTTTTAACGCGAAGAAAACATGCATTTTATTTCGAATAAACTTTTTACTTTGACATTAGGGCCCCTAGCGGTTCCATGTTTTGCAAATCCATATCCTACTACGTTTGAACTAAAACGCCAGATTAGAAACAAATCAGAGCATAAATACGGCCAGTATATATTATAAAAAGAAGCCAAATTATAGACTTTCCGCTGCGAAACACCCATATGTAAGAATTCAAAATTATGAAAAAAAAATAAAAAATTAAATAAAGGCATGGATATTGGACCACCAAAAACGCATATTTGGTGGAACTGATTAAATCGAAAAAAAATTTAAAACAGCTGCTCCGAAAAAAAATGTCTGCGTTCGCTCCTGCACAGCATTCAATGGTACATATTTCAAATTTGTCACTTCACCCAGCAGGTTGGCTCAACTAAATAAACAATGACATTTGCATTGATTGTAGGGCATTTGTCTTAATTTCATCGAAAATGTACAGTTGATGTTAAGAATTTTTATAAACTGTTAGTGTGAAAATGTTCGCCAGTTCGCTGCTTTCTATGGCTTTCACTTCGCACGATTTTGCAGTTTCCCCAAACGACTGATCTAAATTTTGGCACTAAAAAGACAAAAAGTATTAAAAAGAAACAAATGAGTATTTGCAAGCTTTTCTATGTGAGAAAAATTATAAAAAAATTGCACAACTGTTTGACCATTTTTGCAAAACAAAAGGTAACAGGTACATATATATGTATCTATGTTCATAAATACTATGTTTGCACGTAGACACTCATTATGCTAAAGTTGCTGTAGTTTGTTCCTTTATAATCGACCATTTTTACTATTTCGCGTTTTTTTAAGTTCGTCTCACTTCGCAAATGTATGTATGTGCATATAACAAATTCCAATGATTTGAAAAGTGGCCATTCAACAGCGTCGCACCGTTTAAATTGTTTGAATGTTAAGCATAAAAATGGCTTCATTTGGATAGGAGCACACCAATCCAATTATTATAAATACCTGCATACAGATTTTAAATATATATGTACATAAATATATACATATGTACATACTCGTATATGTAAGTAGTAATGTGACGAGAATTTGAGCGAATTATTCAATGGCGTATTCGTTTCTATCGAAAAATGTTACCTTTTAATTGTCCTCTGAGCACAAGCACTAAGAACCGGGCAATGAAAAGGCAAAATTGTTTGTAGAAACGAAAACGCTATAAGCTTTTAAATAGCGAACAATATCACGGCAGACGATTTATTTTTGTTGCTTTTGGCCTTAGGCCAATTAGCATGCATACATATTTACATAAATACTTAGGTGTGCATATAGTATAAATGTATGTATGTTTGTATGCACATTTCTGTACGTAATATACACATTTTCTTTTTCTTTGACGACGCTCATAAGCAACGCTATTTCGGTATAGCAGTATGCACTTACCCCGGCTAAAACGCCCCCTACCTCGTTTGACCGCTTCTTAGGTTGGTTTAAATCCATTTTAATACGTATAGCGTGGGCAAATATCTCCTGCCAGGGTCAAAAGAAAAATATCTGTACCATGTTTTCCTTCACACCTGTGAAGGTCGAGCAGTACGGAGATCATTATCATGCCCCGAAAGAATTTTTTTTTTATCTCCTTCAGCTCCTCCAGCCATTTTTCAAACCAGCTTGTATGCCCATCTCCCCTTCCTTTATTCGTACAATTGTGTTGCACAGATTTCTTATTGCCGATGGCTTTCTTCTACTGCGATCTACATCTAAGATTGATATTTTCACCTACGCATGTATGTATGTATGTGAGAGTGCTTTGTCGTATATTTTGCGAAATCTGGNTTTTTTCAAATCAGCTTGTATGCCCCCTTCCTATATTCGTCGCACAGATTTCTTATTGCCGATGGCTTTCTTCTAGTGCGATCTACATCTAAGATTGATATTTTCACCTACGTATGTATGTATGTATGTGAGAGTGCTTTGTCGTATATTTTGCGAAATCTGGATAAAAAGTTATTAATTTCCAAGCGTAAGGTTTTATACGCATTGCTTCGGGTCAAATCGGAGAAGCGTAATGTGAAACAAAAAGTTCCGCCGTTTGTGAGCAAAATTCTAAACTTTAAACCGCTCAAATGTATGTATGCACGTTCTAGGTGGGTGCACCATCTCTGTATCGCTTAGGGTTACCAGATTTAATTTTTCGCCCTGGGATTCAGGAGCTTCCGATCGCATATCTGTGCTAAGGGTTTGCCACTAAAATCTCAGGGTTTGGGAAAATTTTTCAGTTTTTATACATTTGGTTTTTTTCATAGACCAATTTCATTTTTACTCCAAAGAAACTAACTTACCGCTAGCTTAGAATGAAAAGTTGCTAAGTCCACTTTTTGTGAAAACCCATATTTTCGCTATCGAACGCTCCTCGTAGGGAGTTCTGATCTGCATTAAATATACAGAATGTTGTATTAGAAGTCTTGCAAAACACTTGAAGAAAATGATTATAAGAAGTTTATTTTCGTTTGCTGTAAAATTTGAGAAAATGGACTTAGCAACTATTCACTCTATGCTAGCGATATGTACATACACACCTACATACATACCGTTATCTTAATTAACAAAGGCCCTAGCAAACAGTTTTGGTAGGACATACTAAAATATACCGTGTCTAAAAAATTTTAACGTGTTGGTATCAAAAACAGTGTAGTTATGCCACTTTTTAAAAACCCCTATCTGCTGTTTTTGATTTAACTAATTTTTATAAAGGTTTTTGCTTCTTCTATGAAAGAGAAAATCCTTTTAAGCCTGTAACGTTGAAAATTTTGCTTCAATTTACAATTTTATTTTTACTATTGAGTTAAAAATTAGACATAATGAATTTTACTATACTCACACTATTTTTTTAGTATATCCTTAATATTCTCACATAGGCTGCAAGAAAAAAATTTCCAAAATAAGGGTAAAGAATTTTTTGTTGAGTTAAAGTTTTGTTGAAAAGATAATTATGTATTTAACTTGCAGCAGCAATGGAAATCATTATGCATTTTGGTAATTATTTATATGTTACAAATAATTTTCTTTTTTTTTCAAAGTTTTCCTTGGGCAATCCAAAAAATAATAAATAGAGATTTGTTCCTATCCTTGTCAGCCCATTCGCAATGCTGTTTCCCGGGATAGGAATATTTCTTTTCCCAAAAATCCAGACTACATTCTTCGAGGAGTTGTATAATCTATCTACATGGATATAGTATCTGGAATTCAAGTGTCAAAATTTAGCTTTTCTTCAGATTTTTGCCCAGCATCATTTCAGCAAGACTAGTTTTTACCGCAAGAAGAAGCGAGAGATCTTCATGAGCTTTGGTGGGGTGAAAGGCAAGGCACCCTTTCCATTTACATTTTGGCCGAGTTTTTATCTAGCCTCTTCTGTGAACCCAAAGAAAGTGATGAACCTTAGGTCAGCTATTTATAGCTCATGCGCTATGTGTGTCTGTTAGGAGACTCTTTAGCTCTTACAACACAATATAGAGGGTGTCCTAGAGCACCCCTCTAAAATGTAGGGAATTTTTTTATTAAATAACGCAAAAATATCACCTACTAAATCGGGGTTGCTCTATCTTTTCGTAGTATTACCGACTTCTGATTTCGTCCGGATGTGGGTTAAACTGAACAGAAGTCCATTTACTTCTCCATGAAAGTCTATATTGAATTACGTACTCACTAATCCAGAAAAAAAAACACGGAGCTACATATCTAGCCACTGACGTGTGCCAATCTCGAAAGTAATTAAACATATTTATTTTTATACCCGAGCGCACTTGTGCACAAGGGTATATTAATTTTGTTCACATAACGGTTGTTTGTAACAGCCAAAACGAGTCGAGATAGATATAGACAAATGTATACATTAATGATCAGGATAAAAAAAGAAATCGATTAAGCCATGTCTGTCTGTCCGTCCGTCCGTCCGTCTGTCCGTCTGTCCGTCTGTCCGTNAAAAATGTTAACTTACTCAAAATGCATATTTATACGAGTGTACCAACCACAAAAAAAAAAAAGATTTAAATAATTTTGTTGCTTTTCTTCCAGACCAAATATGTGGCCACCAAAGGCTATCAAAGGATTTCAGCAGCAGCCAAGGAGGGCGCTAAACACATGTAAATTTGGCAGCACGGCACTTGGCAATGACCTACAAAAATTATTTATTCAAAGATTTATTTTTTGGTTGCCATGTGTGTGGGTATGCTTACAATTATGTTTGTTTGTATGTGTCGTCGATTATGTTAATTTACAGAGAAACAGACAGACAGATAACCAGCCAGAAATCCTGTTTTCCATCGCCACACTGCGCTGCTAAGTGATTTTATGCTAAATGCGCACGCGTCACACTCTAAAAAAAATATGATAATAATGCAAATAAACGGGCTAGAGAGCGCGCAAACGAATACATATCTACATATGTATATACGAACTCGTAAAAGGCAAGGAAGGACTTGTTGCATAATTATGCGCGTCACTTCGAAAGCCACGAAACGCTGGTGCTACTAAAAAATTTATGAATGAAAAATGCAGAGAAGGCCGCAGTGTAGTTTTACGCTACTAAACTCCTGCCGCTTTGGCTCAATCATATGGACAGCGACCAATAGTGTTGGCATATCGGCAGCGACGGCGCGCCGCGGCGGTAACATAAACGCTGCATGGTGGTATTGGTGGCACCGGAGACGCGGCTGCTGCAGCCGGTGTGCTCATGGTGATGATAATGAGCAAGATTAGCATTTCGCAGCTTTTTCGTGAACCGTTTTAACCGCACCAAAGTCAGCAGGGGCACACCAAGCCAAGCAAAAAACCAAATCAAAACCTCAGCTTCTACCGTAATTATTAGCATAATTTTTTGTGTTCATCTCCGGGTGCATATTTCACTTATTGTTTATTCTGTAGTAGGTATTTTTTGTGCATACTTAGGTAGTACGAGTAATTATGTATGTGTGGTGTAGCGGCGTCGGTCATTTCACAGCTTTTCATTGAGCACGTCGATAAAAGACGAAACGAGTCCATCCACTGCAGCGTTCGCTGGCTACCAGTGTTGCCAGAACTTTTTGGGCCGACCGGCTAACTTGGCAAAAAAATAACTAAAATTCACTTTTTTTTTTAAATATATCACAAGTAAAAAGATTGCTAAATTCATTAAATAAATCTCAAAACAGAGACTGGTAAGTTCATTACTAATTATTTCTGTTTACTAAATGAAACTGTCGTTATACGTAGCTAAGCTTTAAATCAGAAGTAATTTTTGTATTACTTAAATACAAAAAAAAAATGTTAATTACAAAGTTATGACGTTTTTTTCTATTGAAAAATTTTGCCTTCTTAGGCCCCTTTGCAGAACAGCAGGTTATCCATATAACTCGAAGTTTGCCGGTTAAATTAATAAATTGGCTTGCACAATCAATAGTTAGCAGTAAAATTAGAGTTAAATCGTTAAATATTTAGCCCAGAAATTTTCGAAGATAAACTTGCCAACTCTACGTATGTCAATTTGGCTGTAACAGGATAAAAAAATTTAAATTTCAAAAATCTTTAATTTAAAAAATATTTTTAAAAATTGTATGTTTAAATTCAAATAACAAATGTAAACAAACGCCAAAAAAGAGAGAGATTGGTGCCTACTTATTTAGAAATCCCTCGGGTTACTTAACGCTGGGCCAGTTTTCTATGCTGCAAGACATTTTCTGGTTTAGGAATGTAAAAATTTAACTCTGATCTACTTAATGTAAGCAATTTTCGAAGGTTAACTTGCTAACTCTACATATTGTCTGTAACAGGAATAAAAAAAAATTTAAATGTCAAAAATCTTTAATTAAAAAAAATATATATTTTTAAAAATGTTATATTTAAATTCAAATAATAAATGTAGAAAAAGAGAGAGTGGTGCTTACTTATGTATTTAGAAATCCCTCGGGTTACTTAACACTGTGCCAGTTTTCTATGCTGCAAGACATTTTCTGGTTTAGGAATGTAAAAATTGAACTCTGATCTACTTGACTCTCTATTTATATATTTAACTTTGGATTTTCTGCAAGTAGGCCTTATATTGTAAGATTAGAACTAGGTTACTTTTCGTCCTGCAAAATGGCTATTAGTAGAGACTATTGCACTTTTAATTAGTCTGAGGGCAATATTTTGAGAAATTAGCACGTAAAGCTGTGAAAGGGCTAAGGAAAAAGGGCTACATTATTTCGAGAAAAGAAATCGCCATTCATTTATGTATATCGAAAAATCTGGTAACTTTTTATGTTATTAACAATTAAAGTATTTAGTTTTATTTTGATGTACATATATTCGAAAAGTTCCCGTTTTTAATGATCTGCTCACTCTCTGAAAATGCCGGATACAATTATTCGCAGATATCGTCATCCCAGTGAGTTTTGCTTTGAATCGAAAATCGAGATTTTTTATTCTCATTAGGTATTTTCTAAGTGTTGTGAATAACACTTCACACTTACATATGTATATTGAAGACTTTCTTAATATAACAAAAATTTTATGAAGAAAATCCCCCTTATTCTTTGGAAAAAATGCTGTGATCGAAATATAAAGTGAGACGTGACATTTTTGCAAGTTTTGGCTATTTTTCTTTAGTGTATTTATTGTTTATTTTTTATTATGAAAATATAGCTGATTACTTAACAAACAACATATAAATCCAAACTTCAGACCCTGTGCAAGAACAATGAAAATTCTGCAAAATGTCACCAAAATGTGTAACCTTTTAATCAGCATTTAGCATTTAGTAAAATTATAGTATGCAGTTTTATAGTACATTAAATTTAAGTATAATATGGTGCGAATTTGATGGTGTTCCGCTTTTTTTCATATAAAAATATTAATGAACGAATGAATGAATTAAAAAAAAAATCCAAAAATCAACGGCAAGTGCTAGGTCCTTTAAAATTGTACTTTATTATACTAAAACTTCGAATTTTTAAATATGCTGATTAAAAGTAAAAAATTTTGGTGAAATTTCGGATTAGGAAAAATTGTCTTTCAATTTTATATAGCACAGTCCGACATAGAAATTTTTCCGAGATAAGGATAACCATTCTTATTAGATTTTGAGATGCTAAATTTGTAAAAATGGGAACTTATTCATTTGAATTTTAATAAAGCAAGGCCTATAGAAAAATCGGCTAAAAACGACTATTTTTTTTTTTGCAAGCAGCTAACAAATCGGCTACCGGCTAAATCGAATTCTCTCCGGCTGTTTGCTATCGCAACCGGCTAAATCTTACCCCTAAAAGGGCTATATTGGCAACACTGCTGGCTACACTTGACTTCAGTTGGCTTGGTGGCAGCGCTACATTTTATAAACGTCTTCATAAATTTTTTATAACTTTGCAAATGTTTGTCTTTATGTGCATTTGCTACAATTTAAATAAAACATTTGTATTCATATTTTGTCAGCATAACTTGCTTTTTTGCGTTTATAGGTTATGCATATGTTAAGATCTAAATGTCTGCTATTTATTGCCCTTATTGTACAATTATATTTTTTTGCAGTTTTGCCTTTGTTTGTGTTGAAATATTTCTTCAAAGAGTTAATTAATATTTTTAAATTAAGAAGGTGGGCAAGCGGCTGCCGTTACTGTAGATACACGCTTACTGTATGTACATATTTGCATATATCAGTGGAAGCTCATAGAGTAGCTTTAGGATTTTTTTTTTATTTTCTCAATTTATTTTTTTAGCAACTAGTTACTCTAAGTATCCAATGTTGTTTTTAAACAAAAAAAAGAAGAAATACAAGCGATACCCATTATTCCAACGGTGAGGCTTGGTGGAGTTTCGGTTATTGTTTTTGGCTATTTTTCGGCGAATGGAGCGGGTTCAGGTTGTGGACACAAATATTGATCGGTTTGTTTATCTAGACATTAGATATTATGTTCAATTTGAAAAATTTAGTTTAATAGGAGAACGATCCCAAGCAGGCGTCCCCAATTGTTGAGGAGAGGCGTTTTTTTTTTTGATTAGAACTAACACAAAAGCACGCGTGCAGAAAACTCAGCACTCAGACTGCACTGCCGTCCATTGTATTATTTTCGTGTTTAAGTCTGTTTCTGTTTAAGTCTAAGCGATTTATGAATAAATCTGAGTAGATTGTGGGATTTAAAGAGCTAAGGTATTCGTTTTCAACTCACCGCTGGCAAAAGCCTTATACCTAATCATTGCAAAGGCCGGAACCTCAAGCACAAAAAGTGTTCCGCCGTCACATTCTCTTCAAGGCAGGAAGGGTAAAGGGGGTTGTCATGTATGCCTATCACAGTCAGGTGTTTACTACACGAGATGTGATCAGTCAACAGCCCCAAAAGTTGCCTTCTGTAGTCCCATCCGCTCAATGAAAGCAAATACCCAAGAAGATGATCTGAGATTGAGGACAACTCGAGTTTTGCCCACCTGCAGTCCGACGAAGCTTTCCAGTAATTTCTGAGCGAAATATTTACGGAGTTTCTGTGGTGGCTTCGATGGTCGACGGTAGCAGGGCTATACTGGTTGCGAACCACCTGGTCAATACCTGGTCAAAGCCCTCTCCGGGCAAATGGTCTGCTGTCTAATTAACAGGTACTCCCGATTGTTATGTTTGCCAACATAATTCAGCCAAGACTTTCATTGGCGAACTAGTTTGGAAGTGCTTAGAGGGCTGGCCAATGCCTTGCGTGCAGCTACGTTGTCACTACAGACACGTAAACTTTTATTTAACCGCTTATTTTACAATGTGTAGGACGTTTTTGAAGCGGCTGCTGGGATATAGGCCTATCTGGATATGGCGTTTTGAATCGAATTCTGAAATTGGACGTTCTTGAAAAATCTTCTGAGATAGGGCTTTTTTAAACCGGCTGCCGAGAAAGGTCGATCTTCTGTTCAGCCGTCGATATATGAATAGTTAAAACGCGAAGGAATTTTTTGTTCAGAAAACCAGAAATGCATCGTTCGTTCTATTCTTAAAAATGGGGTGTCCAATTAAAAAGCTTAGGCTGTAGATGTGCAAACCAGTTTTATTTTTACGAAACGAGTTGCCACCTTTTAAACAATTAAACTCAAATTATTCAACAATCAATACCATCAGATCCACAGCGTTAGTTCGGCTTGTAGATGTGCAAAATGAGTTTACCTTTTCCAAAAAAAGTTGCCACCTTTTAAAAAATTAAGTTCAAAGTATTTAAAAGGCACATCAATTATGTATTAAAAAAAAACGAGTATCAATCGAAATGGTTTTTAAAAGCTTTTTTTCTTAACTTAATTTTAAGAGGGTTGCCACCTGTTTAAAACATTAAATTAAATTTGTATTAAGGGAATCAGGTAATAGAAATATGTATCAACATAC